CGACCCTCCCGAGGACAACCCTGTTCACAGGTTCGGACGGTCCGTCGTCCCCAACGGCAAGAAGGTCAAGGATCAGACCTTCATGTTCGACAGAATATTCGACGAAAACGCAACACAAAACGACGTGTACGAGGGCACCACGAAGCAGCTTCTCGATAGTGTCCTTGACGGCTACAATGCTACTGTCTTCGCCTACGGCGCCACCGGTTGCGGCAAGACGCACACCATCACCGGCACAGCACAACACCCAGGAATCATCTTCATGACGATGCAGGAACTATTCGAAAAGATCAACGAGCGAAGCCAGGACAAGACCACCGAGATCACGCTCTCCTACCTAGAGATCTACAACGAGACCATCCGCGACCTGTTGATTCCCGGAGGCAGCAAGCAGGGGTTGATGCTCCGCGAGGATTCGAACCAGGCCGTCTCTGTCGCAGGCTTGACAAGCCATCACCCCAAGAACGTGCAGGAGGTCATGGATATGATCGTTCAGGGCAACGAGTGGCGTACAGTCTCCCCCACCGAGGCCAACGCGACATCGTCTCGCTCCCACGCCGTTCTTCAGATCAACGTCGCGCAAAAGGATCGCAACGCCGACGTCAACGAGCCACACACCATGGCCACGCTCAGCATCATTGATCTTGCCGGTAGCGAGCGTGCCAGCGCCACGAAAAACCGCGGCGAGCGTCTGCTTGAAGGCGCAAACATCAACAAGTCCCTCTTGGCCCTGGGAAGCTGCATCAACGCCTTGTGCGATCCGCGCAAGACCAACCACGTACCATATCGCAACAGCAAACTTACTCGACTCCTCAAATTTTCCCTCGGTGGCAACTGCAAAACGGTCATGATTGTGTGCGTCAGCCCTTCGAGCGTCCACTTCGACGAAACACAAAACACCCTCCGATACGCCAACCGAGCCAAGAATATCCAGACCAAGGTCACCCGCAACGTCTTCAACGTCAACAGACATGTCAAGGACTTCTTGGTCAAAATTGACGAGCAGATTGCGCTGATCAACGAGCTCAAGGCGCAGCAAAAGGATGCCGAGAAGATCTTCTACGCCAAGTTCCGAAAGCAATTGGAAAAGCGCGACTCCGTCGCCCGCGAAGGCATCCAGCGTATTCGGGTGGCCTACGAAAACTCCGCAAACGACAGGCGGGACAAGATCAACAACATGAAGAAGTTGCGGGCTTTCGAAAGGCGGATCGGCCTTCTTTCGGCCTGGATTGCCTCCTTCGATACAGTCTGCGATCAGCGAGGAGACGAAGATTCAATGCCCGCGTCCCTCGTTGCCATCCGCAAGACGGCCCAAGGCATCTTGGTCGAGTTGGAGCACAGCCGCCACCACATTCACCAGAAGCTGGAGCATACCAACTGGGAACGATCCATCGACACGGCCCTTCACCACAGTATCAAGCAGTTGCCAGGGGGCGAAGCTGATGCGGCCGAGATTGATACACTGACCCGCGAGGCAGAGCTGCTCAAGGCCAATTTTGGCAGAGATGCCAACCGGGAGGTTCTGGAGATGGACAAGGCGGGAGATGCGGCCATGGTCCAAGTTCTTCTGACCGCCCAGTTTGACATTTTGGCGTCGCTCGAAGACACATTGGAGATGAACGAAGAGGATGCAGTCTCGCACGCAAAGGGTATTATCAACCGTTTGCTGGAAGCCGGCTTCACGGCAGCTTCCCATGTTGTCAAGCCCGACGGTGCCATGATTCCCGTGGAGAAGTTTTCTCCTAGCAAGCGTGGCACCCCGAAGCGCAAGAAGGCGGTTCTCAACAATGTCAACAACACATCTCCCGTCCGACAGCCCGCCTTTGCTCCGCCTGCCGATACTGCGCCCCAGCCCCATGTGTCTCCCTTGAAGGTGTCGCCTCGGCGTAAGAAGGCGGGCGCGCCGCGAAGCCCTCGCAAGGGAGTCTCGTTTTCGCCGGTGAAGAGGAAGTCGGAAGCGAAACGCGCTGTTCGGTGGAGGGATGATGAAACTGAGCAAGGGACTCTGGCAGATTTCGAAAAGACACCCAAAAAGTTCGAGTCGACGCCAGAAAAAAACTCTCCTGGCAAGAGAAGCCCGAAGATGCCACCCCTACCCTCCTACTTGAGAACAGCATCGCCCAACCCCGACAGAAGCCCGACGCTGGAACTTGAGGGATCCTCATTCATCCCGCCGGCCAAGCCTAACAGGTTTCAGGCCGGGTTCCTGTCCAAGGGCCGTGTGTCGTCCATCGGCTCCGGGTCTCCGACCGTGCCGGTGCCGACAATGTCGCTGCCATTGGGTTCGTCTCCGTCGTCGGACAACGGAGGGCAGGTGTCTCCCTTGCGCGCTCTTGACGTGCACCGTTCGTCCAACCTGTCACCGCCGGCGTTCCGCTCTAGGATCGCGAGAGCCAGTCCGCCGCCGAGAACGTCGCTCTCGGGCAGTGTGTCAGCGGACGAGAACAACCCGCCATCGTCTTACAATGCCTCCGGATCCGAGTCGGAATCGCCCAGCATTGATCCTAGGAAGCTTCGGTCTGCGATGAACTCGATGAAGAAGATCCGAGGCGAGCACCGTCGCGTGTCATCGATAGGAGGGTCGGCAGGTAACAACGCGAGGCGCATCTCTTCGGTCAACTCTATTGGCACAAACCACCGGGCATCGTTGAGCTTCTCGGGCCCTTTGGCTAGCAACTCAAACGGCATCTCCAGACAGCGCCGGGCCAGTGCGGAGCGAAGACTCTCCCCACCCATAACTTGCTCCCCTCCCGATGCTAGGAGCGACCGGGCGTTCACGGCGGGGCAGGCAAGGAGGATGAATCTGGGAGGCAGTTTGAGACTGGAGGGAGGAAGCCCTCAAGCGCCTCCAAGCAGGATGGTCAGCGCCGACTTCAAGAACAGACGCATCACCATCGGCAGTCTGGCAGCTACTGGTAAGATCGAGAAGTCACACGCGCCCAGACCCAGCGTGGCAGGGTGGCGTTGATTTTCTTCTGATTTCAAACATGGTCACCTCGTTGCTCGCGAAAAGATGGGGCGGGGCATCCTCGGCTGTTTTGTTCGTCAGTCAGTCTTTATTTATTTATTTTTCCCTCTCCAATTAATGGAGGGGGAGGCGTTGTGTAATGTTTAGATGTTGGCCCTTGAATTCTCTTGCTTGCTTCTCATCGCCTGGCGGACCTGGTCGAGGGTCCTTGAATGGTTGTTGTATCAATAGGTCGCGATCGGAGTATATTCTCAATTCATCGGATGACAAAGGCCCGTGCGGCAAAGAACAAACTATTCGACAGTGACAAGCGCCAAGTTGGAGAATGAGCTCGGCCAAGTGTGCATGGATAACTAATGCCGTAAACTGTGTCTGTTGCAGCAGAGCCGTTGTTTGATTTTCTCTTTGGCTCTATGAAGCAAGTTCGCCATATTGATCCGACATCGGTATCAGAAGACGGTTCTTTCACCGTCTTTTCGCGATCTGCTGCAGATCAAAGATCATCCCATCGAAGATAGGCGGCTTCATCACAAACGCGGCTCCAGAGTTCCTTTGCGACCGCTATTTGCAGAGGAGCCCCTTGGGCTGGCGTTCTACGACATGAGGTTGTCCGGCTGGCTTGGCTCCAAGTGGCTGGAACACTTTGTGCGTTGCGTTTATGGCTCGGCTTGACGGGCAAACGCGGTCGGCCTGGAGAACCGAGGAAATTCCGAGAGTGTTGAGGTTCCCCACCATTGCGCGGCCAGCCATCGGGCTTTCGGCACGTGATGGAAGAGTCAGATAACAAGAGACACGGAATCCCGCTCAATCGTGGAATGAGGGCGACGCTGACTATATTAAGCTACAGGCCGCACCGTCTTGGAGTTCGCTCCGAAAGGATGACAGGATCATCCTTGGAGTCTTTGCCCACATGCGATGACATATGGAATCACAGCCACTGAGCGAGCACAGAAACGGGACATTGAACTGAGTACCACCACCCCCTTCCCCTTTTTGTTTCTCCGAGCGGCGGGCCGGCGGAGGAGGAAATAAAAAAGGACGGGATGGCAATCGGTTATCCAAGTCGCTTATCAACACGTAAGAAGCTTTCCCCTTTACACAAGAGGATAGAGCCGCCCACAGCAGGGAAGCCCCTGGCCGGGAAGCTATACAAGCGCGCAATCTTATTGCAGTCATGCTTATTCAACAGTTTTCTACCAATGAACTGTTATCGTCGGCAAGATAGTGTAGAGTGGCAAGCAATATAAACGAATTATGGAGAAGGGGAGGGGGGAAAGGGGGGGGGCAGAAGCACGGACCTATAAACATTGTCTCGGTCCCTGATGGATGGCCAATCTACTATGTATGCAGTAGCATGTTCTCTTATCTCTCGAACAAGCCCGCCGGCTCAATCGGCAGCGCTCTCGAACCACTGCCGCCCAGTCGAGTCGCAGCTATCATGCCTCTCATGATGGCAAAAGAGAACGTCGGGGCGCGCGAGGATGAATGAGGAATGTGCGAAAGGGGAGTCGTTCAACAATGGGCGTAAACCGAATGTTATTCAATGCCAGGGGACGGCGGGTTCAGTCAACATACCCCCGTGAACTTTTGCGAAAGGCGTCATCATCCAGGCTCGCCGTCAACGGCCCCCCCCCCGCCCCTGGGGCTATGCACGCTTCTCAAAGGAGGAGCCAGATGCTACCAGAGCAGGGTCCAGGCCGTAACGACCAGAGCACGTCACGGCCGGTTTGGGCAGTCGGGTTCTTCAAGGACGCGCATTCACCAAGAAAGCCGACAAGCGCCGAAATGGTCGAGTTGCCTTCCTTCCCGTCTTGGCTTCGATCTCGTAGCGCGGCCCCGGACTGGGCATTACTGGGCATCGCTGAGGCGAGCGAGAGATGAAGACGGTGATAGGGCCGGCCAGGGTATCGAGGGTTGCGATCATCCCCGCTCTCAGCGACACGTGGAGACTTGGCGGTAAAGCTTGTCTCTATATGCCGAGGCGCCCAAGAGGCCCAATCGACGCCAGCCGAACGCCTTCCGAGCCCCAGAATCATTGATGACCTAGACCTTTGGACATGGGTCGTCCCGGTCTATATCTCGAAGCCCCAATGAAGTGTTTGATTTAGGCGGCGGTACGACCTGGCACTGTCCCGGAGCCATATCCCGAGTAGGTAGGTGACTTCCAACCCACTCGCCGACTCTTGACTCGACGACCCCCGGGCACCTTTGTTAGAGGCCCGGCCCCGGGACCATCGCGATGAACGGCTCTATGACACTCTTGATTGGTTGGCGGAATCATGTGCCGCGGTTCCTCCCCATCGCGGGACCCCTCATCGTCATCAGCTTTCTCCTTTATCTGGTCTTTAATGCTGATTCTATCCAAGCTCTCGCTTCCACTGATTGGAGAGTCGCGAAGTTGCCTGAGTCGCCGGGCCCCTTCGACCTGCTCTTTTCCATCTAGTCCAACCATTCTGGATTACGCGTGCTCGTGACGAGCTCTGGCCAAAAGTTCCCACCCTCCACTTCCCTTCCTATAGGCCGCAGATAGGCTAGCGTTAGGATGATCCTATGGAGGACCGATGGGGCACCGTGGCGACCTCGGTTGATTGAGGCTGGACGGCTGTTGGTGGTTGCCATGAGCTGTTGATTTCTTGTGGACCCTGTCTCTTCTGTTATTGTTGATATTCTGCTGCGCCACTAGCCGTGCGCAGACGCTCTCCATCCTCACCAAACCTGCCCCCCTGTACATGTATTCTCTCAATCACCATTCGTTAAGCTGTGATTCATTTCCGCGCTATATCGAGTCACGGCAGGTCGACGAGCTATTACACGATGTTCTCTCTTGGAAGGTGGTATCTTTCCCTGGTTATCTCGTGCCAGACATCATGCTGGCTCAACCGGATACCCTTCGGACTTATTGCTATTGCCAATTACTGTTGCCATGTCAAAGGACTATCATGTTGGCATCTCTGGCAGTCCTGCTGCAACTCAAAACATCTTGTCCAAACTGATGCCCATTGCACGTCCTTCCACTTGTGCAGTGAAGTCGTATGCCTAATCCTGCTCCTAATCGTACATCCAACTACGGACTAACAATATGAGACAGCTGCTTTCTACGAATTTCGAAGAGCCTATGAGATCGACGAAGAGAAGAGAGTGTGTCAGTGGAGGGAGGGTAGGGGTGGGGTTGAATCGATTTGTGTGGGGGGGGGGGGGGGGGGGGGAGTCCCGGCACGGTAGCATCGCTCTTGTTATATCGACGCTTGTGATGTTGACATGGGCTCAAGGGAACGCTTCCATGGATCTGTCGAACCCGAGGTCCTCCCATCGTCGCTTGGAAGAACTTCCATCTGGGACTCGATGATGATGATATAAACCGTCCCGTCTCTCCCTATGATGATCCAATCTCATCCTCATCCTCATCCTCCTCAACCACTCTCCAGCCCTCAGACTCAGTCTTCTCTTCCTCTCACTCTCTCTACTTCACTCCTCCCGGTCTCGTCACTTCCAGTCTCTTGTGCTTTTCCACCACAATGACTGGCTCATCTTTCGTTTCGGCCCTCGCCGCAGGCCTCGCCCTGGCCTCCACCGCCGTCGCCCTCCCTGCCGGTACCCAGCAGGAGAGCAGCTTCTCCGTCGAGCAGGTCCGCAACCCCCGCTACGTCCGCTCCGGTCCCCTCGCCCTGGCCAAGGCCTACCGCAAGTTCAAGGTTCCTCTTCCCCAGGACCTTGCCAACGTCGTCGCCAACATCACCGCCGCCGGCGTCGGCAAGCGCGCCACCGGCAGCGTTACCACCACCCCTGCCGAGTTCGACGTCGAGTACCTGAGCCCCGTCCAGATCGGTACCCCGGCCCAGACCCTCACCCTCGACTTTGACACCGGCTCTTCCGACCTCTGGGTCTTCTCCACCTTGACCCCGTCCAGCGAGCGCAACGGTCAGACCGTCTACGACCCGAGCAAGTCCACCACCGCTTCCCGCCTCTCCGGCGCCTCCTGGTCCATCTCCTACGGCGACGGTTCAAGCTCCAGCGGTGTCGTCTACAAAGACACCGTCAGCGTCGGCGGCCTGTCCGTTACCGGCCAGGCTGTCGAGGCCGCTCAGACCGTCTCGGAATCGTTCAGCGAAGAGAGCGACCTGGACGGTCTTCTAGGTCTTGCTTTCAGCAGCATCAACACTGTCGAGCCCAAACAACAGACCACCTTCTTCGACACTGCCAAGTCCAAGCTGAGCTCGCCGGTCTTCACCGCAGACCTGAAGCACAACCAGCGTAAGTATCGGCCGCCCGCCAGATACACCGAGTCGGGACACTCGTTAACACTCAACTAGCCGGCAAGTACAACTTTGGTTACATTGACAGCTCGGCCTACACCGGCTCCATTGCCTACACCCCGGTCGACAACAGCCAGGGCTTCTGGGGATTCACCTCGTCCGGCTACCAGGTCGGCTCCAACAGCTTCGTCAGCAAGTCCGTCAGCGGCATCGCTGACACCGGCACCACCCTCCTCCTCCTCCCCGACTCTATCGTCAAGGCCTACTACAGCAAGATCAGCGGTGCCAAGTACGACTCTTCCCAGGGGGGCTACGTTTTCCCCTGCAAGACCACCCCCCCGTCCTTCACCTTCGGTGTCGGCAGCGCCCGCGTCACCATCCCCGGCTCGTACATGAACTTCGAGGCTGTCACCACCAGCTCTTGCTACGGTGGCCTCCAGAGCAACTCCGACATCGGTTTCTCTATCTTCGGTGACGTTGCCCTCAAGGCCGCTTTCGTTGTCTTCAACGGCGGCACCAACCAGCTCGGCTGGGCTGCCAAGACTCTCTCCTAGATTACCTGGAGATGACGCAAAAGGGAGACATAAGAGACTACGGTCGATCACACCTTGCAACCCGAAGGATCCGAATTCGAGGACTGGAGAGAGGACGGAAGAGGTCCGGGTTTCAAATTGTCTGACGGCCGCTCATCAAGTCATTTGACACTTTCTCATGTATATATTTCTTACTAATCTTCTTCTTTTGTTATCAGTATATAAGTTGAGGCGGCGAGAGATAGCTGGATAGTGGTTGAATGACAGACTTGTGCCAAGAACAAACAGCTTCCAATAGTTTGATGTGTGCACTTTTTCCGTGTACCCGGTCCGTTCAGACGTCTTTCGTCTGTAGAGATCCCCGGTCTTGATTTGATCGTCTTTATATCTCTTTTACCGGGTTTCCGAGATTCGATGCAACATACTCTCCCATTCTCGCGCAGCTGGGAGAAAAACGAAGCAGCAAATAAATACCACAATCACAAGAACCACCTTTGCTCACTCGCTACGTTCCGAGAGCCATTCACCAACGCCCATTCCCGCTCTCATCTCCATAGCTCGTCCCTTCTTACACCTCTCGCCATGTTTCTGTAGACCGACAACCTTGGCACGTGGCAAAAACTACTTGGTACTTGGCGACACCTGCGTCTTACGAGTCCTACCCAGTCTCGCGGGCGATTCGCTATCCCAGCCAACGGGGCCGAAGGCCAAGGGCGGCAAGGAGTGTGGATAGAAGGGAAGCGAGGCCCGGGGAGACGACAAGGCGTGAAGATTCGGATTGGCAATACCGAGGTGCAGACAGTAGCTGACGGAATAGGTAGACCGGAATATTTCATCAGCGGCTCATTTGATACCTGGGAAAGGTCCTGATGTGAAAAGGAGGAAGGGCCGGCAGAGGAAGAAGAGCTACAAATACACCGTGTGGGAAATAATTGATTATTTCTAGAATGAAGCATAGTTTTGCTACGATAACGATGATGGCGACGGAATAGTGAGAGACAGCATCTTGGATAGATAGGAGTCTTCGAAAGGTAGCTGTCACATACCATAAATACAAACGCCTTGGAGATCAATTAGTCGAATCCTTCCAATGAGGTTTAAGAAGCGAAACCCCGGAGGCGACATAGGACACAGTGAGTTCTCACGTTTCTCCTTGGGTAACCCGGAATGGGGGTTATCAACCCTATAACAATGATTGTTGCCATAACGATTAGCGGCAGACCAAATTTCACCTAATATGAGGAGGTTTCGATCATCCATTGGAAGGTCGGCAAGAGGAGATTTGGTATCTCGATAGCATACTTGAAGCTCGACGGAATAGAAGAATTACACGACTACCGCGACACGGCATGGCCGCATCACGAAGAGCCCCTCATTCAAGTCCTGGGGCTGAATGGCCAAGACGATATACTTGACTTTGTCTGTTCAGTCTTATGTATTCAGCAGCTCGAGTCGCGAAGCGGAGTAGGTCTCTATCTCTGACTTAATGGAGCAATGGTGGCCAGCGACTTACCACTTAATGCTTCCAACTACCCGCTCACGCTTCTGCATGTGTCTTCTACCGTAGTGATCTCAAGAACTCTACATCTGTTCAACCTATCTCGGCGCGGAGAATAGGAGGGACAGTAGCGCGACTGCCCTCAGCTACACGGCAGACTTGACAATAGCACGGATACAGTCTGTCTTACCGATTCCGTGTATTCTTTCTACCTTACGGCTATTGAATATGATGCCTCCATAAATGATCGATGCTTACTGTGCGCCATTTCGATCGCAACACCATAGAGAGAGGCCCTGGATTCCTTCCTCGACTAGCATCCTGCGATGTTTCGAGGGTGAGACGCAGGGTAGGAGGCAAACGTGATAGGTGTACATCTGAGCCCCATGTTGCCGGTGACCGGCCATGCGACAGACACGACTAGTCAGAGATGCTATGTGATTAAGGCAGCGTTATAGGGCGTGATGGGACGAGTTGGGTAAATAGGGTCCAAGGGCTCGGGTCCGGAAGCAGAGAGCAGCATACGAGGAGGGAGGGGGTGGGATGCGGCATTGCATGATGTTGATCGCGGCTGAACCAGTGCGTTATTAGCGCCGCTGTGCCCCAGCGATACTTACAGGACGCTCGCAAACACGATGAGAAGCCCATCTGCGCGTGCTAGAGTGAAAGTTGAGGTCCAATAGAACGTCGTTCAACCCAGACTAGTGCCATTCGTTTTCTTCAGGTCAGAAACGCAGTCGAATTTTTCCGTCAAATGAACGAGCTTTGGCACTCAACGCCAAGCCCATTGGCGTGCTGCCATAAAGTCTAGGGGGGGGGTTGATGGAGAGTGTGGTTAAAGAGATTCGGGGGCCCTGTCTTGGCTGTCCTAGTCATCAAAGCCATTGGCAAGGAGTTCACCTGATTCGGACCTGGACAAGTAGAAGGGCCAGAAGTCCATTGAGAATCGAAGTATTAATCGAGTGTCTGTTTGTTGAAGGAGGCAAACAGATGAAGCCAGTCAGTCATCCAGCCAGCCAGCCAGGGACCATATGGGCAAGCAAAGGACAAAATCTCACTATCTTGAGAGCAACAAAGTTGGCGTTAATCCAGCCACGCCCGCAGCCTCCCTGTCTCTCGGTTGGTTGATGGTTCATCCGTTTCTGGTTCGTCTCCACGCGGGCCCTCCCATCCCCTCATTTCACAGCCATGCACACACCCCCGCGATCCCCAAATGTTTCTCCATCCTGGCCATCCCCATTCCTCTGACCCGCCTGCGCCTCTTCTCCGCAGAATCCACTGGCTAAGATAGGATAAGATGGGAAAGCAAGGCATGAACCGACGGTGGCGATGGTGCTGCTCGGAGCAGAGCAGGAATCAGCGAGACCTGAAGATGCGTGTGGGACAGCCAAAGCCCATTGGATTTAACTGACGGGTCGTTGGGCACTGGTTCAAACCTGCTGCTCGTACATCTACTGCTCTGCATATCGTATCACGTTTGCCTCTCCAAAAAGCTCCCTGGCGACTCAAATGCAACGTGGGAAGAGACTAGACTCATTCCAGCGAACTAAATCCACCTCCCCCGTCTTCAACAGGCTCCCAGACCATACAACCCCCCATGCTCATGCTACTTTGCCGTTTTGCCTCGTTAACTCTCGTCTGCCGGGTTTTTGCCTCTGCCAGCAGCCTAAACTCTTTGGCTGAGCGACAAACCTGCATCTAACAGCGAACCACACGCCACTTTCCGGACAACCGATTGCCTAGATCTTCCATGGTTGCTCCACTCATCGTAACCTGGGGCGTCCGGGGATGGAGAACAGGTCTCTCTCTGAAGTCTAGGAGAGTCGCCTCTGTTGCTGCGACTGTTATTAGTCTCAGGCTTCTCGGCCACAAACACGCACATCTTGCTACCAACGGGCTCCCTGCCCCTGCTACACGGCACTACATAGAGGTCTGAATCTCACGGATCCGTTAGACATTGGAGGCAACCATATCACATCTGGCCTTCCCTCCAGCCAGCTCGGTCCAGTCTCTTGGTTCTCCGCCGGCATCTGTGCCTTTGCACTATAGACGCGGCGAACATTCACGGCCACAATACAGATTTGCAGACACCAAGACAGTCGCCAAGTGGTTAAGCCCGGTTCAGTTTCCAACATGCTCGTCGAGATCGGCCCGGCAAAGCTTTACACCCTTGGCTCACGACCGACCATCCCTTCTGCACCTCGCTGAGGTGTCATCCGGCTACCTTAGTTCGACCTGTTCAGCCCATGGGATCCCAGGCATGGCATGGCATGGGTGCTTGTCATACTTGTCGCTGCATTCTCTCGGGCCATCTCGACAACCACCACCGCCCAACCACCCACCTGCCCACCCACACACATGCCCAAAGATGTCTTCCATACGGTACCATGCCCCCCAAGCTTTACCGGAAGCCTCCAATGAGAAGCTTCGGTCAGTTGAAGGCAAAATCGAACAGGGACGCCCGCCGCCGTCGTCCCTCAGCCCCCTCTGAGTGGTGGAAAATCTCATGGAAGATTCGCCCGCCGTCTTGGTACTCGCTGAGGCTCGATCTCCTGGGGGTCCAGAGAAATTCGAGCGGATGGTCGGGCCAGGGTCAGACTGGAGCCAAAGCTTCCCGGACAGAGAAGCATGCAGAGTCGCAAGCTCCCCCGCATGCACTCCTCACACACCAACTCCTACGGCAACCTTTCTACATTGGGTGGTGGTAGATTGGTGATTACCCTACCCGTGAGGGGTTCCCGGCTCTTATACCTGGGGAAGAGGAGCATTTATGATCAGCAAGGAAAGAAAACCACCAGCCTGGGTTCCCGATATATCAGGGCGGCTATCCCATGCTGTCTTATCGAGTCTTTGCTTCTCTCCGTCTCTTCGTCCTTACACCTTGAGCCCTTTCAAACTCTCAAACTGAGTCGCTTTGGCTTGAGACTCGACCACAAACGGGTGCCGCGTGTCGCATTGGCCAACGTTCCCTCGCTTCCGTCTCACTTGCAATAGCAGCATCAACCTGCCAACGCCTGGCCTGCTGCAGAGAAACAATCGCTCAGCATGACGGTCATGCAAAGCATTCTGAAAAAGATTGTCCACAATGACGCCATGGACTCGGACCCCCCCGAGATCTATGGTTGGAGAGTCTTCGCCCTCGCCGCCTCCGCCTGCTTCGGTGCCATGTCCTTCGGCTGGGACAGTTCCGTCATCGGCGGTATTGTTGTGATGGAGCCCTTCAAAAAGTAAGCCATATCCCACATGAACCTGTCGCCTCTAGGATCTGGCGGACTGACCTTTTTCTTTTTTCTTTTTTTTCTTTAAGGGATTACGGTCTCCAAGATGCCAAACCGGTCGAGACCGCCAACTTGACTGGTAACATCGTCTCTACCCTCCAGGCGGGTTGCTTCGTCGGTGCCCTCATCGCCTCCCCTTTGACCGACAGATTTGGCCGCAAGTGGTGCCTCGTCAGCATCGCCGCTGTCATCCTCCTCGGTGTCGTCCTCCAAGCTGTCTCTTCCGGAAGAATCGCTGCCATCTTTGTCGGTCGCTTCGTCGCCGGTCTCGGTGTCGGTGCTGCCTCTAGTATTAACCCCCTGTACGTCTCCGAGAACGCGCCCCGTGCCATCCGTGGTCTCTTGACTGGTCTCTACCAACTATTCATCGTAACGGGTGGTATGATTGCCTTCTGGATCAACTACGCCTCCGACCTCCACTTCTCCGGCAAGATGAAGTACGTCTTCCCCCTCGCCATCCAGGGCCTTCCCAGTCTCCTGCTTCTGCTTTGCATGCTCTGCTGCAACGAGTCGCCTAGATGGACGGCCCGACAGGACAAGTGGGAGGAGGCCAAGAAGATCCTCTCCACCCTTCGTAACCTGCCCGAGAACCACCCCTACCTCGAGGACGAATTCCAGGAGATCGTCGACCAGATCCACCACGAGAGACAACTGATGGGTGACGCCACCTTCATGAAGATGCAGAAGGAGATGTGGACCGTCAAGGGCAACCGCAACCGTGCTCTCATCTCCATCTTCCTCATGATCTGCCAGCAGATGACGGGAACCAACGCCATCAACACCTATGCTCCGACCATCTTCAAGAATCTCGGCATCCAGGGTCGCTCCACAGGTCTCTTCAGCACCGGTATCTACGGCATCGTCAAGGTGCTTGCTTGCATCTGCTTCCTGCTCTTCATGGCCGACTCTCTCGGCCGTCGTCGTTCGCTTCTGTGGACCTCAATCGCGCAGGGCTGCTGCATGCTCTACATTGGACTCTACGTCCGCATCTCCCCGCCTGTCGAAGGCCAGCCCGTTCCCGGTGCTGGATACATGGCCTTGGTTTCCATCTTCTTGTTCGCGGCCTTCTTCCAGTTTGGTTGGGGTCCAGCTTGCTGGATTTACGCGTCCGAGATCCCGACTGCCCGTCTTCGATCGCTCAACGTCGCCCTTGCCGCTGCTACTCAATGGCTCTTCAACCTCATCGTCGCCCGTACTGTCCCCAATATGCTGGCCACCGTCGGTGCCAATGGCTATGGGTAAGTCTCATCGCCCCGAGACTCTCAGTGAATCAACACGCTAACCCGTCCACAGAACCTACCTTATCTTCGGAAGCTTCTGTTTCTCAATGTTTGTCTTCGTATGGTTCTTCGTCCCCGAGACCAAGGGTGTTTCTCTGGAGCACATGGACGCGCTCTTCGGCGTCACGGAGTACGATTCGGACAAGAAGCTAGCTACGGACAACGCCAGTGATACTAAATCGCCTGCCGAAATTCAGGTCGAGTCCATCAACCCCGCCCATGCCCACGTCCGCAAGGAGGGTGCTTAAAAGAGTCAGTGGGTTTACGAACAGATTTGTTTATACGACTATACATAATGTATATGGTTGAGAGATGTAAGCGGTTGCGCAAGTAGATGAAGTTTAAAGCGAGGACGAGCTGCTCGTTGAGAAGATGCGGCCTGCATGGAGTTATTGGCTTTTGATACCTATCTTTTGAGCCTTGTGTCACTCACAGGGCATGACGGCATTCCAACCCAATATTGAATCCGAGCTGTTGCTCTTACTGACATCTATCTTTCAAAGACATGAGTTCATGTTGACAGATTCGCCTTTATATGTGGCTCAGTTGGGTAACGAGTGACCTACCAAAACCTTGAATGCACGTACGCATTTCCAACAACGGGTTGCACTCCTTGACCGCACAGTGGGGGGGGGTGTTGGCACGACAAAAAGTATCTCGATCAAGATTACATGATATGTCAAAGAGACGACAAGATGTTATGTACTCGTTTTCTTGTGAAGCTTGCAAAACACTCCGACAAAGTGCCAGGAAGGAACTCACCATCAGGGCTAAAAGCTTTGGCATCTTCCTTGGCAAGCCTAGCACAGCGACATCTGTGGCGCGCGATTCGATCTTCCCAGCCGCTTTTGCCAAACTCCGATGGCGTTCAGCCCCTCTTTCAATGCTGGAAGGGAAGGGCGTACATACCGTTGGCAATAAACCAGTTTCTGTCGAAATCCGAGAGCTCACGCTGTTCTATTAGATGCCACTTTCAGCCACGAATTCCCCCCATCAAGCCCATGGGGCTGTAGCTTCTCGTCGCCTCCGAATCGCAATGGCCCCCCCTCGTCTCAACTCATCAAACGACACACTGAAATCCCGAACATTCGAGAATGTGCAGCATTCATACTTAGTATTAAGTCCAAATTGGCGTCTCGCAACTATGACTAGCATATCTTCCAGCCCGTAGCGGCAAGGCCGTCAAAATATTTCTGAATGATGGCAACGATACACCCCCTTTGGGAAGTGGTGGGTGCAACACGCCTATAAGTATGGACTCTCTCCCTTTGCTGTCTGCCACCATATCTTGAGTACCGGTGTGAGTTCCACACTTCAGTGGCAAAATGAGGTCATCCATCCCACTTGTCGTCCTTCAAGGACTCTTCGCTCTATCAGCAGAAGCCCAGAACCCTCATCACGTCGTGGACCCTGCACTCTTCCCTGGCATCACTCCAAGCAATGATCTCGTCTGGCATGATTGCTACACAGTCTTCAAGTGCGCTCGGTTGACCGCAAGTCCTTTAGTCATCATATCTGTCCGCCTGACGACACTCCTCTGACACCGGCCCAGGTCCACGCCAAAGTCGCCGACCCCCGCAGGCCCAAGAAAGTCGAAGGAAACTGCGGTCAACCAACCGTTGACCTCGCCATAGTCAAGCTCCCCTATTTTCCCGTAGCCGGTGGTCCCGCGCACTAGGGCGCTCTTCACGTCTCCCTCGGTGGCTGGAGCTCGTCGTATACCAACTTCCTCGTGCGCTTCGGCGAAGACTACGCTCCGCTTTTCGCAGGCTATGATCTCCTTGCCATCGGTGCGTTCCCAAATTCACCCACTCCGTTCTTCCCGCCGAGACTAACACGCAGCATCAGACTACCGCGGCTGGGGCTGGTCGACCCCGGCCTTCCGCTGCTTCGCCTCCGAGGACGAGCGCAAGCAGTTCGCGCTCTCCGAACCACAACTCCTCGGTGCCGATGACGCCGCTTACGCCGCGAGGGAGAAGCGGGCGGACGAGTTTGCGAAGAAGTGCAAGAAGAACGGAGAGGATGTCGGGAGGTTCATGGGCACGTACTCCAATGCTGTGGACCACTACACCGTCATGAGGGCTGAGAACCGCACCAAGATGGGGTTTTGGGGCATCTCGTCGGGAGCGCATCTTGGCCGGACTATCGCACAGTTGTACCCCGAGGTTGTCGAAAAATTTCTCTTTGACAGTGAGGGTCCTCTCCGTGCCCTCCACGCCGTGTTTGGATCACGATCTTTGGCTCATACTAAGCCTCGCAGGTCCTGCCCCATCCTCACTCGCATATACCGTCACGACGGCTCAGCCCTCTCAGATCAAAAACGCAGAGCGCGGCCTTGAGGCCTTTTTCTACACATATCTCAAAGCACCAGCAGGGAACTGTTCCTTCGCAGGACCTTCCACGACGACAGTCGAGCTCCGAGGCCGCTACAACGCCCTGGAGACCAAACTAAAAACCGGCGCCCTAACAGTTAACGGCACAAGCAAGAGGTTCGACTGGTCGGCCCTTCACTCATTCCTTACCATATCCCTCCATGGTCCCGGCTGTATTCCCGTGCTAGGCGGCGTCTTGTCCGAGGTCGAAGCCGGCGGAACGGGTGCCTAGATCGGGTACGTCACGACAAGCGTCCTCAATCAGCCCCCTGCGCCGCTGCCCCTCCTCACCGAAGACGCCCCATTTGAAGGGATCCTCGCGGGCGTCTGTACCGACGAGAGGCAGCACGTGAAAGGCAACAGGGACGACTTCAAGTCATACTTCAAATCCATGACCGAGGCGGCGCCCAGCGTGGCGGCCATCTTCTCCGAGTGGCGCCTTGTATGCTCCAAGTGGAAGACCGACCCGGTCAACGTGCTTGATGGCCAAGGTAGCGCGTTCCGTGGCCCCGTCAAGACGCAGGGCAAGTTCGTGGTGGTCAACGGCGTCGGTGACCCAGCGAGCAGCGTCGAGGGGGCCAAGGGTGTCGCGGCGCAGTTCTCGCCGAGTGTGCTCGTCAAGACCCTTGCTGCGGGGCATACGAGCTTCACAGCGATCAACGACTGCCTTTTTGGAGTGTTTTGTACGTTTTTCGTGCTGGGGCAGATGCCGGCCGGGGGGGCGACGTGCGGTAACTTATCTGCTCCGCCGTTTGGCGCCCAGCTGCCTTCTGGGTTTTAGGTTGTGCGTGTCTGCTTGTCGTTTTTGCTGAGGGTTGTATCCGTCTAAGTATACCTTTCCATGCCTGGTAGAAACATGACGTCCCTCTGCCAGAGGTAACTAGAGAAATATAATCAGAAACACTGAAAGGCGCAACGGTAACAGAAAATCTATGTGTTTACGTAACGCGAAGAGATGGAGTGAGACCATAGGGGGGAAAATGAGTATCAAAGGTGAAGAGAGCATGCCGCGTAAAGCTCGTATTACGGCCAGGTGTATATTATCTAAGAAGTCTGATGCCTAAGTATGCCCCCAAAACGCCAGAACCTTGACCGTTGCATGGCTCATCCTAAGAAAATCAGACCGCCCCCTGTCGACCCATCGACTTCCAGTACCCAGGTCAATAACCTTTCTGCTGTTCCTGAGTCACAGCATACACGAACCATTTGTGGTTGCAACCCCCGTTTGAACGCCTATTGTTGTTCTATAACAGAACAAGAATAATGAAAACAAGGAAAAATAAAAACTCGAGGGGTATGCGCAAGACTGACAAAGATACAGTTACTGACTACCAGGCACTGCTGCAGAGTCAAAAATGATGAGGGGCCACTGGCCGACGGGGGCTGATACAGTAGTCATATCGGCCACAGTCGTCATCTCCGTCACTGCGCCAGGGTCTCGAGCTGCGCCACCCAAGGTCAGCAGGGCATTGGCGCTGTATCTGTCCTGACTGTCGGCCATGGCTGCTGTCCAGTCATGCCAGGTGTTCCCTTGTGATGCCGATTGTCTCCAAAGAAGCTCGGCCGCCGCCGCAGAGCTAGCAGGGTCCGCAACGTGTTGGGTGGCTTGAGATGCGAATGCGATCAAGGGGTTGGTCTCGGCCGAGTTGACGTCCGCTGCGCTCGTTGATTGTCCGGTAGGCGTGTATGAATAACCATTGTTCGCTTCGAAGCCAGCCGTTGATGATACGTTGCTATTATCGGCTGGTTGTTCGGCGTAGGCCAAGGACGGGTAGGGAGTTGTTCCGTTTTGGGCCACAGAATCGGAATAGAAGGCCTTTTCAGCCGTCTCGGCGGCACTGGCAGCAAGCGTTTGCGTTGTTGGCGGTTGTGATGTGAGCTGAAAAGGTGATGATTCTGCCGGGTCAGGCTTGATCGTAGGAGGGATCGATGGATCTTTTTGCTTTTGGTCGTGCTCGATCCAAGTGATGGTCCTCTCAATGATGACGCTGATTTCGCTACTGATTCGAGAACTAGTCCCTAAGCATGGGGTTTAGCACCCTGATTATTCCACGTCTATTGATGTTACTTACCCAACAGCGAAACCGTCGCGTTGATGATCTCCATCCAGTTCTTCATCTCATCGCGAAGGATGGCGATCTGACTGGGAGTTGCCTCGAATCTCCGCTCCCAGTGGGCAACCAAGGTGGTGAAGATGGCAGCGCCATACACGGCCATCTGATACCATGTCGTATCCAGGCACTTTAACTTGAGCAGACTTTTGACGACATTCAACATATGCGCGGCGGTTTCTTCGCAAATGCGGGCGTTTTCGAGAAGCATCTTCCGGTCGCTAGTCATAGCCACGGACGGGTGACGCAGGCAGAGACGGAATTCGAGGGCGTACATCTGGAGAATTAAGGCATACATCCGGCCTCCGTGTTCCGGCTGGCCTGGGCTGATCTGCAGAGATTCAGGCAGGCTATCCTTCCACAGCTGCAGCTGTTCCTCGAGAGAGTTGACTACGGCAACGTAGTTTTTCGGATCGCGCCTCACGCTGTATATGTTGGAGTACATCTCCATGAAAAGAGGCAAAATCTTGAATCCAGCAAGCCCCACGTGGTACGTACAGGGTGTCGTGACGGACGGGTCTACACCATCTGGTGTAAGGGCCTCGTCGGGAATCGGTTCTGGGAAATCGACGTCGTACTCCTCGACCGTGATCGGCATTGGCTTCCCGAGACGCCCGTTCAAAGTGACATAGACGAGTAGGATGGTCCACCATGTGCGCTTCCGGATCTCGTTATCCAAATTTGTCGTCTCGCCCGGCCCCTTCATGGCACGGTGCATGTTCAAGTCGATGGCGCGGTGGAAGGCAAAGTTGACCATCATGGAGCCGCACCCTGGCTTGGGAAAGCTACGGCTATGTGCGCAAATCAGGGCCATGGCCTGGACGGCCGCTACGGATTGTGAGGTGGCCAAGTCGAACATCTTGCTTAAAGACCAGTGGTAGTGCTTGTTGGATAGTTCGTTAAGCTGTGAACGCGTCTCTTGCTGTTCCCAGTTCCGCACACCGTACTGGAAGTAGATTGTAGCGAAGACCATATGCACCATGACCTGATCAGGAATGCTCGGCTCGAAGCCGGGTTCATCGTACATGCGAGTCAACTAGAGCAAATGTTAAGGCCAGTCAGTAGATCAGGGATTGGTATACTTACTATGTTCATGAAGGTAGGCTTATGGAGGACGGGGAGAAAGGGCCATATCATGAGGAAGTACCATTCCGAGTAGGTGAAGGCGTCGCTTCTCGAAGGGAGCTCAATGTTAACAGGAGGATTGATGTTCATGCATGACTGGAGGAACGACTGGAAAGATTTGTTGTACAGAGGTTGCGAGACTTTGGTATCGGGCACAGGCTCGTCCATGTCGGGAGCGTCGAATGATGTAACGTCGAATGTTGTTCCGAGGATGGAGAGCTGGGTACCCTTAATGGAGCTGAGAGGGGCGGTATCGGCGGAGCCAACGCCGAGGTGGTTGTGAATGGGACGCGACTCAAGGGTCGAGTGTGGGAACGAGCGATTGCTGGCGGGCTTGTAGCTGTAATTCTTGACCCAGACGGAGCCGATCTTGGTCCAAGCATCCTTCTCGGCAGGGTCTTGGATGGGGTTGCCCATGTGATCGTAGGTGACGCCAGGAGGCGGGTAGTTGGTGCCGTAGGGCGACCAATTGTAGGGCTTGACTTCGATGCCATTGTTCTCGAGGAGCTTCTCGAGTTCGCGGATATGGCTCATCATGTCCGTCTTCTCCCTCTCGAGCTCCTGAAGGTAGCCTCTTCGTTCGGTTCGGCCGGTGACACGATCGGTGACGAAGCATTCGAGATTCTGATTGATGCAGTGGGAGCACCCTTCGGGCAGGGCATCGCATCGTATCTTCCTGACCTATATAGCATGGTGATCAGCATGACAGCAATCGGAGACGGAGAAGTCCTCTCCACATGAACGCACCTTGCATCTGTCGCAGGCCTGTCCGGTTCTCGTGTAGGACGACAGGCGAGTCTTGACGACGGAGGAGAAATCTTCCGGGCCACCTTTCTCGAGGCGCGGCAGCTTCACCTTGGCGCCAGCTGGAGGAGCTGAGTCGCCATCGGAAGTGGCAGCAGGATCGCCAGCTTCCGCCGGTCGCTTTGGTGGGCGAACCGGCATGGTCTCTCTTCTCCCTCCTCTCTCTCTCTCCCTCCCTCCTTTTCCTAAGTCAGTGACTGATGATGTCGAGAATCGATATGGCGGAAAGGTCGCAATGGACAGAAGAGGGGCTAAAAATTTTTCTAAAAAATAAAGCTCAGGCGCAGAACAGCAGTGGAAGATCGGTCGCGAAGGGGTTTACCGTGGACGTGGTTGATTTATGAATGTTGTCGCGTTTTGAGAAGAGAGACGGGGATGTTTGCGCTGCCGGGTCCCTGTCGTTTTTGGTGGTTACTTGCCTGCTCGCTTGGATTACGACGAAAATTTAGGGTGACAAGGGGGTGTGGTAGGGGCAGCGCAAGGGTCGATGGATAATGGACAAGGGAAGAAGAAATGGGAAAGGACAGCTGCTGATACAGAGGACGGGATACAACGCGCACAGGGTCTAGGTAGGGCTCCAGAGCTGGTTACGGTGTTGACAGCGCATGCTGGCTCTGCTGGGCCGAAGGAAGAAAGGAACGAGCGAACGAATGAGATGAGTGAGCGATGATGAGCCTCTCTCTCTCTTCCAAACCAACAGTGAAAATCGGACGGGGGGCCGGTTGATCGCAAGCGCAGCCAAGTGGGTTTTCCAGCCTGTCGGGATGCGGGAGAGCGGGTTCAGTTCCAGCTCCAGATCCAGCGCCTCGCTGAACCCTTTTACCCTTTTCTTCCCCCCCCCCCCCTTTCTGCGCCTTAGACGGTCAGCAGCATGCGCCCCAAGAGGTGGTGGTCTAGAAGCTCGGGGGCTTGTTGAACGAAACCTTGTTCATCCGGAGACACGACAATTCCCCATCTCATGTGAGACGCCTTGCCGATGCCAGAAAACATGGGAAAGTGTTCTGCGATAGTTGTACTCGTTGAAGAAGAATAAGTTAGATGATGATGATGATGATGATGATGATGCTATTGGCTATCGGTAGCCTCACTGGCCGAGATTGTGACGAGATATTATCAACAATACCTCTTCGAAAGACGATCGTCCCTTTCTCTTAGCAGCAGCACAAGTCCCTGCTCGTCCGATGTCGAGCGAGGGCTCTGGACACGTCAAATCTTGGAGCGGGCGTTGACGATGAGGCAACAGACGGTTCCAAATTGCACTATATCATCGGCCACTGCGTGATGCATGCTGTGTGTGTGGGTGTCCCATGAGCGGCCGGCTTGGGCTTTGGATGCCCTGTCGCGAAGCTGGTTGAGAAGCCAAACGAAGACACCCCATCTCACAGCATACCAAACGGGGAACGGAACTAGGTCAGATCGCATTGGAAGCCCCCCTCAAGATCGAGGCGTCAATGTTCGATGTGTAAGTAATGGACGGCGTCGCGCGGCGTCCGCCCCCCAATGAATGCTGAATGAAGAAAGAAGGGGTGCAGCATTCCCAAGCTTCTAGCGACAGCCTTCAGGGCAGTTAGTCTACTATGAACCAGTTCAGGTAGAGCCGATAAGGCTCGGACGATCTTTCTCTGCTCTTGAGCTACCGGTACACTCCTACTTTGCCCTCGAGAGAGACCTTGTCTTACAAAAGGGGCACTGGCTCTACCTCCCTAGCCTCCAGCAGAGTCCTCCACTTAGCCCATGCACTGGGGACATCCTTTGTCCTCTTTGTCGAGCGCAAGGATGGCGGGAAGAGCGGCAGCCCGGGCATTCTTAGGTAGTGTTAAACTGAGTAATACTCTTACCCATACCTACATGAATGCCGGATCCGAGATTTCGGCCTACCCCGAGCATGGCCGAAAAATCAAGTAGCGGCAGGCAGCCTTACTCGCCTCTCCCCCCTCCGCCACCGAACAGTGAATCGTGGAGAATAAGCAAAGGAATGTAAGAGACACGGATTTACATGATCCATGGGGTTGCCGCATTGACACCCAAACTCACAACGTGAGAACCGAGCAGTTACGTCAACTTATAACGTGTGGAACCTAAGGTGGGATGGTCACCTATAGTTTGTTATCCGACGAGACGGGTCGGGCCTGCGGCTCGGTCTACATAGATCCAAGACTCTCCCGACCATCTTCTTCTGCTCTGAATCATTCCTACGTGGAACTGTAAGCTCAGTGCAGCGAACTGCCTCGAGTGCTTTCTGCAGTGCTCAGTCAGCGCCTATTGGAATGCTCATTACACGTGTTCAAGAACTTGTTTTGCCCATCTGACTCGTTTGGCCCGTTTATGATGTCCATAGGCGCGCGCCGTCAGCAACAAGCGTATTGACGGGCCAAGTGTGCGATCCACTTGTGGAGTCACGAGGAGCAACTTTTTGGTGTGCCAATAGCTCGCGAATCCAATGCCCACAAAGCATCGGAGGTGCAGCCTGGACTTACATGAACGTATCGACCTTGCGGTACCGACCTCCAACTACCTACCTGCCTACCACCCTACCTACTTAGATAGGCAACTAACTAACTACCTGCGGTACCTGGGTAATTAGGGAGGTAAGCAATAATGCGGCAGATTACGGCATTGACGCAGCGCACTAGTGGGGCCATTCACTACATCTGACGTGTTTGTGGTCAGAGAACCCCGCCATGCCCCTCCATGACCGATAATTATTGTCGTACAACATTGTATAACTATGCACTAGCAAACTTTTGAATTTGGCAGGCGTGCCACATCCATTGCTTCCAAAATTTACCCCGCGATAATTGATACTTTGTCTCGCTACAGCTACGCGCCGCTTACTGTACACTACAGCTAGAGCTCCCATCAGACCAAGCAAGCAAGCACCTCCTTTTCGTTTGCACCACGGCCACCCTCATTCTTGTTCCAACGTTTCTCTGTCAACATGTCCTCCGTTATCGAGACGATACCGATCGATCACGTGCCCGCGGATATCGCTGTTCATGTCGCCTTCTTCAAGGACGTCCAGAACGCCGCCTTCCTACACCAGCAGCTCCTCGACCGCAACGCAGACTTTGAATATGCTCTGATAGACGCCTCCGTCGCCGTTTCACGCACTCACATCCTCGCTGCCGCCTTCAAGGCCGTCACCGCAAAGGTCGACGGCAGCCTCAAGACTCCCAACGTCCACTCGGAGCTCGTCGCTTCTCTGAGCTCTGCCAACAACGTACGTGATGCATGCACCTTCTCTCATTTCCCTTGCCCCTTTTTGCGGCTCCCTTCACATCGCTAAGTGGATCTGCAGATCGCCGAGGCCTACCGCCGCTTCGGTATCAGCCCCTCCAGCAAGGATGTCATTGCCGTCAAGATCAGCTCCCCCGCCGCCGTGCCGTCCGCTGAAGAAGTAGGACAGCATCTCAAGGAGAACTTCCAGGGCACCCCAGTACCCTTCACGGACGAATCCATTGCCACATCCACAGACTGGTCCAAGGTCCGCAAATACTACAAGCTGAATGGTCTCGCCTGGCTCGACGCCATTAAGGATGAACAGGAACGCAGGGGGCAGCTGGAAACACTTGTTCTGGGAGCCATGGCATTACGCACCGCCTAAGATACGACGGCTCTGGCGAACACACCTACGACTGGAGGACGCGCCCCCACGTCGGAGCAACACAACGTAAGTCATCTCATCGTTGCTGCTGTGTGACAGCATACAAATCCTAACAACGCTCCTTTCTAGGTCCCAACTCCTCGCAACCTAAGCATGCTCGAATCCCAGAAAATCCATCAATACGCATCTTCCCTACATAGATACCCCAATGGCAACTTTGGCTCTCCTCACCAGCTCGCCCCACATGGCATCGCGTCCACTCCGTGTGCGTTGCACCGCGTCACGGTTTTCATGCGCTCTTCTTAACAGATACTTCATACAATCGCCAGTTGACCCCCAAACGAGATACTTGTATGTCTCAACCGCCCGGGTCTTTGTCGTCCTTTCCGATGAATCCCCTGAACTCCTCGCAGAGATGAGTTCACAGCTGAGTTCATCAGCCATGCCTTGGAGTTGCGCGAAAGCAAACTGGATCTTGGCCTCGCCAGCGTCGCAGATGTCACGCGCCCGCCTGACCGACTCGGCGTTATGCGACGCCAGGACCAAGCTGACGTGCGGTATCTCAAAGCCTCCACGCAAGACGTCACCCCACTGCTTTTTCAGTAGGCTTTCCGCAATGCTGTCATAGTAGGTGTCTGTGTCTGCTTTGGTGTCGTGGATAAGGTGTCTCGGGTCAGAACCGATGTATGCGCCGCGCACCAACTTCACACCCAGGGTGAAGCCTTCGGCCTGCGCGGTCCGGAGATGTCGCTGAAGGGTCTGCGGGGTAGACTTGAGGTACGCCTGGTATGTGCCATAAATCAGGGCCTGCCCGGGGTTGTTGTTGTACTTGTGCATATAGTCGAGGGTCCAGTCGTCGATGCCGGGTTGGAGGGAAGCTTGTTCAGCGTCGAACAGCAGGCGGATGCCGCGCCTGGCGGCGAGGGAGCATATAGAGTCAATTGCGCCCGCCATGGCTGCAGATGGTGGCAGACGCTCCGCGAGGGAATATAATGCCTGACGACCTGCGCCCGTGAACCTGCAACGATATTATTAGCATCTGCACGTGGTGGTTTTCTAGAAAGCCTGTTTTCTTTTTCTTGTCAGTCTTGCCAAGGTGTAACTCACTTCAGGGCGACAAAGTCCCCAGGCTGCGCCAGTCTGACCGTCTCCATTGTTCCTTGAGCCCACGGAATGACCTCGTTGCGGACGCACTCCTCGGCCTTGTCACCCTTGCCACACGCCGCCAAGTCCCGGGTCTGTTCTGCCGTCAAGACGACCTCCTTTGCGTACCCCAAGATGACGCCCGTGAAGCCAATGTCCTTGAGGTCGTCGATGGTGCGCCGGGCCTCGGCCGGGGTCTCGCCTGCGCAGAACTGCGCGTAAAAAGTGCTCTTCAAGACGAATCGCAGCAGCGGGTTCCTGTCAGGGTCGAGGAGCGGACTGGTGGCGTGCGCCAGGGCGGACATGATCCAGAGCGACGGCGGCAGGAGGAGCGGCGACGAAGAGATCGTCGTGGTGAGCAAGGAGCGGATGACCGTGCGAAGCGGGAGGACTGCAAGAGGCGAGGGTGAGGGCATGGCGGGCGGCGATGTGGGTTTCAGTGTCGAGATGGTCTTCGAAGATTTGAGTGCGGAAGATGCGGGTGATGACGTTGTTGTAACCAGCAACTGGTCATCGGAGGATGACCTCTTGGAGGAGGAGTGGATTGTCCTTCTTCTCGTCATTGCAGGAGGGTAGCCGAGAGAGCGCTGTCTTAGTGGTAGTGATGCATACAAAGACAACAAGGTGGCGCTCGATAGCCTAACGGAAACTACTGTCCGGTACTGATGAGGGGCAGAGATGAGGACTGCTCTGCAGATGCTAGGGAAGCATGCCCTGTGTGACAGGCCAGCCATCTGGGCGGCTTTGGACACAACTCGCGCTGCGGGGAGCTCGGAGTAGAGAGAGAGTAAGCGATGGCAATGGGTATGTATAGTATTTCAGTAGGTAGGTAGTAGGTATGGCTATCTACACGTCGGCATGAGAAATCCCTCGGAAGGGGAGTGGTATTATACTTGACAATCTAAGCCATTGTCCTTTATCTCGCAGGTTTCTGCACGGGGCGTCTGAGCCCACTGACGATTCCGGCCGCCTCAAAGGCCATATCGTTATCTAAGGTCGAGGGTCAATGTGCGATGCATGATGTATTGATCTTGGCGAACACATAGCTAACGAGAGCTCCAGCATCTTCGACCAAGCCCTCCCCTGGTTATCTATCCCACAGACCCTCCACGTGGGCGCATTATGTCATGAGGGACTGCCGATTGTAGCCGTGTGCGGATCGATCAGACGGACTCTTGGGTGCTGGTAGTACGCAATGCTAATTGGCGAATAAGCTCGGCCGGGCGGTGGCCATGAGATTGGGGTACACAATAGGTATGTATAGCTCCGATGCGACCAGACAACCCCATCATTGATGCATTCCTAGGGTTGCGACAAGCGTGGGCGTGTCGGTTATTCAGCTGCCAGACTCTGGCAGCTGACGTTGATCAGGCAGCAGATGGAGTTTTGCGGCATTCGTGTCTTGAACCTGACGGTAGCCATCATCGTGGCATAGCTGCAGGCATGAAATTTGTCCTTCCCCTGGCTCTTGTCTTTCCATCATGACCGGTAATCAGGGGTGCGCAATTTGTGCCGTATGTCTTTCTGAAAACGAGAAATCCATCCTGGAAGACCCCTGGCTTAGCTCGCCTGCTGCTGGTCGAGCTTCGTCGCTTTGTCAGATCCAAAGCGTCGGCGGATGAAATCGACGTATCCGACGGACCGGCCGCGGGCAAGGCCGACGACGTCTTGCATTCCGCCGTATACCAGTCCAAAGAGTAGGCCGTACCTTGCTGTGCGAGCCGCAGTGGGGAGGGAGAAGCGGTCTAAAATCGGCGGTTATTAGGAGTCATACCTTCCTTTGAACGCATAAGACGAAAGCTGTCGCGACTTACTCCAGAGACTAAAACTGCCGGCCACCGTTAAACTAGCCAAGACGGTGCTGAGGAGGTCGCTCTTGCCGCGGTACCGGTCGACGGTGCTTTCAAGGCCAAACGCCATCAGGGTCCAGAAGCTGAGTCTGCTACCCATGCGCAAACCCTCACGAATACCGCCCCGCATGGCGTGGTAGTTCTTGCTCTTGTGGTAAAGGTACCAACCCGTCGTGGTGGTCGGCATCTTGTGCGCGTGCTCCGCGCGGAACCGAAGCTGAGCAGTCCGGCCGCCGTGAGCCAAGCCCAGGGTCGCTCCGATGCCGAAGCCCACAACGCCGGCGAGGGGTATACGAGCTGCAGTTGGTATCGACAATCGGGACTCGGATGGTTTTTGGCCGAAGCTGAAGTTCTCAGCCATGGTCATTTCAGGGCGTTCTGCCATGGTGTTGGGTGAGGTTTGCCGGGGATGTCAGAATCGGGCGGTTGTCTTTAGATAGGCGGGTTCCCCCAATGAAGGGGTAAAGACTCGGCTGATGAATGGATATTTGAGGTCCTGACAAGGTCTGATGCTTGTTTGTTTCCTCGGCGGCGGAGTTTTTGCGCTTGGATTATCGTACTCGGATGCGAAGAAACCAGCTTGGGCCTGCGGCCCGGTTTGGAGCTTGGATGCAGCGCTCTTTCGGGGACTCTTACCCCGGCCATGACAGGACACGCAGTCAGGTGACTTCGCATAAGTAAAAACGCGGAAAGTGCCCCGCTCTCGTGAACCCTGCCAGGCTGATCCGCGCTGCTGCCCACCTGCACTTGCTTATTCTTCTTCGGCCACGACCATCTTCCCACTTGCGATACTCGATTTTGGCCTGCAATTCACATGACTTGACCACGGATCCCAGCGCAATCGAACTAAAGTATACACCTTCGGCGAATATATCCAACAGCGACACGTGACCCCGACAGAAAAAATGGTATGAGCATTCAGAGCTCCTTGGCCCTCGAGGATGGCAATGAAGCTGACTCCCTTGCAGCAGATCGATGACACCTTCTTCTCGGTTCGGTTCAAATATGGCGCCCATACAATTCTGATGTTTGTCGATGGGCAGCAGAAGTTCTCTGAGATTACCACCTCACTGCTTGAAGTGCTCCGCGACAGATTCCCCAATGGTCTCACAATCAGTCACACCTCTTCCAAGACGATAGCACTCCCAGAGGGCGATGTACAGCTGGCCTATGCGCTGCCTGTGAATGCAGCCGACTTGACTCAGGGATGGAAGAACATCAAAGCCGACGATAAAGACACTCCGCTGGTGAAAGGATTGAAAGATAATTGTGTTGTGGCCTTTTCTTTTGATGCGGATGCGCCAGAGTTTCTTGTTGACGTGCCGAGTCTAGATGAGGAAATGGAGGACGAGGAGGGCATGGGTTCGGACGCATGATTTGGTCAAGAGATTACGGCATAGATGCATGGCGTTATGGCGAAAGGAATCACGGCACTAGGGTTTGCCTCGGACTAGCACACGGTTGCTGCCGCATGGATAACAATTGGTCACAGAAGCAATCATCTGGCTAAATGCGAATGTTTATAGGACAGGTAGATGATTGAAAAGCATGCGAGGACAGAGTTTTATTTACGACGGTAATGATGGGCAACTGCATTAGGGGTTGCCTTGTTGTAGATACTAAATACTCAGGTCATCCTACGAACAGCTCCCAATCAGTAATTCCCCTGGTATACTGAGGGTTATTGCTGTTTATTACTCTTTCAAATGAAAAGGGCTCACAGCACAAAAAAAAAAAATCGGATTCTGAATGCGACAGCTGGAATGCTGGATGACGGATTCGTCCAATCTCGAAAAGACCCAAGACAGTGTCCGGGACAGATGACGTCGACGGTCTGGACCGAACCATCTCCAGAAACAGGCGATTCCACCCACCCCACAGCACAGTACTAAGCGCAGTAAGCTTTACTGTGCACTTTGGCTGTAGACCCCTTTTTTCCACTCTTGTCTCGATGTCATCTCAGAGCGAAATTGCGACGACGAAGGGCTCGCGAGGCCGTGGTTTTCTGCCACCAACAACAACACAATACTTACCCTTCGATCTTCAATCCTCATACAAGGAGGCTCGACACATATACAGCTGCAGAGTCGCCCGACCTCTGCCCATGCTGCCTTCTACATGTCCCACGTGGCCCTTCTCCGCCATGGCCTTCGCCTCTTGCTGCCCCTGGCGGTGATCTCAACTTTTTACCTATATCTGTATCCTGCGTTTCTTGGATGTGCTTTTCCCGTCCCCCCAAGCGGCCGTGCAGCATCCGCCGGTCCGAGCGAAGTCGACGCCGCAGACACTAAACTCGCTGCCTTTCTCGAGGCAGCACGACACCACGTCTCTCTTCCGATTCCCCTCCGGTCGACCGACGCCCGTCCCGCGCCTTTTCGTCTCCTCGCTCTCGGCGATCCCCAACTCGAAGGCGACACGTCAATTCGAAAACACAACGGTCCTATCTTTCCTCACGCAAGAAGTCTTTGGTCACATGTGACCTTTGAATCCAGTCACTCGCTGCGCCAGCGCATCCGTCACTCTTTGCACGACGTGATAGACGTGTTTCTGGAGGACGTCTTTGTCGAGCTTGAGTCGATTCGCAAGCGTATAGATCTGTTTGGCAACGACTTTTACCTTGGACACATTTTTCGGACGGTACACTGGTGGACTCGCCCTACCCACGTCACTGTGCTTGGTGACTTGCTGGGCAGCCAATGGATTGGCATAGAGGAGTTCCGGCGCCGCGGCCGTCGGTACTGGGACCGTGTCGTGCGAGGCACCGAGAGAGTTCCAGACGAAGCGGCAGCGTATCCGGCCACGGAGTATGATCTCACAGGCTACTTGTCGACGTCTGGTGAACCTTCCCCCGAGTGGTCGCGCCGCGTCATCAACGTCGCCGGCAACCACGACATTGGTTACGCTGGCGACATCAACCAGGACCGCTTCGGACGTTTCGAGCGTCTCTTTGGCAAAGCAAACTACGAGCTGCGCTTTGAGCTTCCTGTTCCAGACCCGAAGCTCAACGCCACCCTTTTGGACGAGGAGAAGAACCCCGAGTCCGATCGTCTCCCGCCTGAGATTCGCATCGTTGTACTGAACGACATGAACTTGGATACTCCCGCCAAGGACACGTCGTTGCAGGATGCGACTTATGCCTTCATTAACTCTGTCATCGACACCTCGGCGGCCGTCGAATACAACGGCCATTTTACCGTCGTGCTGACCCATATCCCGTTGTACAAACCCGAGGGTGTCTGCGTGGATGCCCCATTTTTCGACTTCCACGGCGAAGACGACGGCGGCGGAGTCAAGGAGCAGAACCTGCTGTCGGCTGATGCCAGCAAGGGTTTCTTGGAGGGCATTTTTGGCATGAGCGGTAACACAGAGGCGCCCGGTAACGGCAACGGTCGCCGCGGCGTAATTCTGAACGGTCATGATCACGAGGGCTGTGACACGTTCCACTACATCAATCAGACGGACGTAGACGAGAATGGTGATCGCGCGTGGCGGGTCGAACCATGGAACAAGGCGAAAAGCCGAGGCGCCGTGGGTGCCGCTGGTGTGCCGGGCCTGAGGGAGATCACGGTTAGAAGCATGATGGGCGACTTTGGCGGCAACGCTGGTCTGCTCAGCGCCTGGTTCGATGAGTCCACGTGGACTTGGAAGTTTGAGTACGCAACGTGCGCCCTGGGCACCCAGCACCTCTGGTGGCTCGTTCACATTGTGGATCTCATCACTATCGTCGTCTCGGTTGCCTACGTTGTCTTGTCTGTGCTGGAGACAAGCAAACAGGGACAGTCCGCTGTTGTGCCAACAAGTGTAGAGGAGAAGAAGAAGTTGACCCAAAACGGGGAGGTCAAGTCATCATAAGCATGTTACTCAAATACCCGGCAGGGACAAGCCTTGTCTCAATTCTAGCATGAAATCTCATTTTGTAGCATTGTTCGCGACATCCTCAAATAATTTCCAAGTGCCAGTTTCCGAGAGCTCTTCATTCCTTCTATCGCCATGACAACAGCCGCCAAGTTGATAACCGTATGGCTGCCTACAAATTGCAAGGTACTTCCGCCGCCCAGGGCGCCTTGTGTTCTATCGAGTCCAACTATAGACTTGGGCCGTCATGGCTACCCGGCTTCTTTTCTAAGCACCATGTCCCAAACTCTCGCCGTCTCGGGGCAACACAACTGCTGCCGACTAGGTAGCCCCGTGGCAGACACTCTGCATAGCGCGGCTCACCGCTATAGCGAGGGAATGTGCCATGCCATATCGTACTCTCTATTGACTGTCAGTAAAAAGGGGTAACACTGTCGCCCGGAGCCTTCAGATTATGCTGCGTGCCTGAGAGACTGTGATTGTCTCACATCTAACGCGCCGCGAGTCTCACCAGCCTCGAGCTCACGTTGCGCCGGTTGTGGGGTTCGTAGCCTCCCCAAGCCATAGTTCAGTGAACAATTAAGTTCTATATGTTTTGGGCGGATGGGGTGCAATATTAGATCATACCAACCGGACATTTGCTCCAATATCCCAAGCGCCGTTGATGCGGGTGGCCGCATCCCCTTCGTGTTGCACCCAAGGGGGGTTTGATGATGACGGAGAATGTCCAGTCGCATGCGCTGATGAATCCTCGTACGGGTTGCCTCCCCTAATGAATACCTGTTGCCCTGTATACCGGGAATGACAGACGAAAGATGCGATCACGGGTCTCCTATAAGTGTCGTGCGGTTCTGGTCTGCCATGTGTTTCGGTCGTACCTGCATCACTCCATCCGCGCGTCCTAGGACAGGAACCGAGAAGGCCCATTAAACGTCGGTGAATAAGTTCGTGGACCTTTTATGGCTTACAATTTTTTCCAGCGCCTTCTGAGTTTGGGCCGTTGTGGCCCGAGGAGTACGGGTAACCATCACCGCCTCATCTAGGGCGACTTTCATCACGAGGTCTTAGAGCTGGTTTAACCATACGGTTACCGCCCATCGGAGCAAACATTGAGGCAGATGACCAATCGAATCGTACTGTTGAGCGTCAACGGTTGTAAGAAATAAAAAAGGGCGACGGTCCGGGTTGATGAATAAGTATTCGGGCTATATAATAATCAGAGAGGACGACGACGTTATCCGCACCAGAAGACCACGCAACAGTTCAAGACTAAAGACATCATCACAATTCCAGGATAGTATTGTCTTGAGTTCCTCTTACTTCACTCAACTTCAAACCCTTTTTATTCGAACCTTGTGTTTTCAGAGTCAACGCTCGTTCTGTCCCCCATAATGCGCTTCGCTCAGCTCACGTTTTCCACGTTCCTTACTGCACACAGTCTCGCCGTGCCAACCACCCGAAACCTGGGGGATAACTCGGTTTCCGAGACGGTCGACTCCCTCGTCGCCGCGGAGAGGGCGACGCCCTTCAACCCAACCTGGCACTATTGTCAGACAAAGTGCAACTGCGCGGAAAGATTTGATAAGAGTACCCAGCCAGACGGGTAAGTTAGATCCTGACAAGGATGCTTGCCTTGTCGCGGAGCCCAAGTAGACCTATGGTTAGCTGACAGACGTCGGGGAAGGTTCTTCCAATGCATCACGGATCCCAACTGTGAGCAGTGTGCGAGGAGCGGTATGAGCCCTTCCCAAGGACGGGAAGAACTCTTGAGCCGGGAATAGCCTGAGGGGCTGCTGTTTGATGCGCTTTCTGTGCTAATATAGGTGTTTGTGAGTGAGAACGGAGACTTGGATAAACCAACTGGTTGAGGTCCATGTTCATTATGACCCAGTGTTGTCGCGAGATGGCAGAAGATATAGATAGGAAGGAATATGATGAGAAACAACGGTGCTCTAGTGGACAGTGGACATGTCGACATGAATAGATGATACCTCACAGAACCGACAAAATTGCGCATGCCCAGCTATACATCATCGAAATCCAAAAGGCCCACAAGTACAATAATAGATTATTATAAGAACTCATGTCTTTGGAGATGAAACTGTTAGGGTCGGACCACGTTTCTTCCCCATATGGTGGTCTAAGGTAGGGTAGTATACAAAGTTTCGTACATACGCAGACCCACGCGTCGTCAAGTCTATATGCAAGTTGAGGCATGTCCTAGCCGCCCAAGCCCGCCTTGGTAATACAAATACAGATAGTTCTTTCGTAATAAGAGGAGTGAGCGGTTGATGCCGGTATACTGCACTGCACGATTGGTGCTCATTAGCCCGGGGTTGGCGAAAAGTAAAGCACCCCTTTTTACTGCTTCTTGTTGGCGTCGTCACCCTTGACGAACCATCCGCCAAAAGAGCCCATCATGTTCTGCATGGCCTCTTGCTGGGCCTTCTCCTGCATAGCGGCCTCCTCCTTGAGCCATTTCTCACCGTTCTCACGGATCTCCTTCTCGAGCAACTCGTAGTTGCGCTGGCCACGCTCGCGCGCAATGTCTTGGAGCATCTTGCCCTGGGCGAGAGCCTCATGAGGGCTCTGCTCTCCATCAGGTGCGACCATCAGGCTCATGTTGGAGGGCTTCAGGCCGAGCATGCCACCGAGCAAGCTCATGCCGGAAGGTGCCTTCTTCTTCTTGGCCTCGACCTGCTTGTTGAACTCGGCTCGCGCGATAGCCTCGCGACGGGCGAACTCGGTAGGAATGTGCTTGCCCTCGAAGGATTTGAGGACCTTGCGAACATCGCCATACTGCATCGTATGAATATACTCGAGGA